TGATTAATTTCCAGATATCTCTCCCCTTTTTCTCATATTCATGTGCATGGTCCCTACAATGCTTGTTTTCCTATTTATGTGTCAAGCATGCAATTCACAACAAGGAGGTGTCAGAAGTAATTAATAGGACCTATTCATACTTGCCCTAATGGAGAGAGGAGGACCGTATGAGCTTCAACAGCCATTTAAATTAAATAAGTTCAGCGACAAGCACTTCATTGTTTTTCGCTCTTTTACTCTTTTCTGTGTTCCCCGTTCTTTTTAGGAAGTTTCAAAAAGTGATTCAAAGTAAAAAAAAAAACAAAAAAACAAACAACAACAAAAACAAACAAACTGGGCTCGCTGAAAAAAACATGCCTCTGCCTAAATTTGTGCAAAAAACTCCAAACACGTACAATTCACTTTTGTTCCTTTTCACGTAAATTACAGTGGTGGAACAAGTACTAAAAAAAAAAAAATGTACTTAAGTAAAAGTATTGCTACTTAAAGAATAGTTTACTTGAGTACAAGTAAAAATACTGAAAAATAATATGACTCAAGTAGAGTAAAAAAGTAGTTTGCTGAAAAACTACTCAAGTTACTGCATTGCAAAGTACTTAAGTATTATTTTTTCTGTCTTTACCGAAAATGAGGCGATGTGAGCTTTAATAAAACATTAAACACTCTCATGTAATGTCTGTTTCACAAGTGAGACTCATAGAAGTATTAAACTTATGACATTCCAGGAAATCCCTTATATGGACAAATGTAGCAGATATCACTACAGCTGAATAACATGCTATTTAACATTATGACTGCTGAAACATGAAGGCAATAAACACACAATTGCAATGCACTGATAATCGACATAGCCTGTATCACAATATAGAACTTTATAAAACAATACATCTTCTGTCTCATTCTGTGATAAGGTGCAACATGAAACCACAGAAGCAAGCCATTTCAAACATGACTGATGTTATATAGTTATTTTGGAGCAACATGCTATTCATTTCATAAATTGTCATGTTTGATGCTGTGCTAAACAAACACATTATCTATCCGTTGTGATTGGTCTACTGCATACAGCGCATGTCAGAAACGGAATGCCCATCACCAGTACTGGAATACGGCTTATCAATAATTCATCCTATACCTATATATCCTATATATATATATATATATATATATATATATATATAATGATAATAATAATAATGTGGGGTATGTATAAGGATAAGGTTGGGCATCGTTTAAATTTTAGTGATTCTGATTCCAATTCTGCTTATCAATTCCAATTTTTATAAATTCCTAAAACAAACATTCACGTGTATTCACAAGTCTTATTGCAAAACATTTCATTGTAGCTGAATAATATGAATGAAAATTAGAGGCTAAAGCACACTTACACAAGGATGTGTGTGCAGCAGAGAAAACAGCACTCGAGTCTTCTTGACTTGAATGGTTTAAAATCACATTAAAAATGTAGCTTGTTAAAACAGCAACAGTGGACTCCAGGCACATTTTCGGTAGAACAAAATAACAGCATTTTATTTAACATGTTAACTAGGCTTGGGAATCAAAAATCGATTCCAATTCTGGAATAGGATACTTAAGGTCAGGAATCGGATACTTGCTATGAAATAAAAAAAAATTGTACTTTGTACATGTCTCATGAAACAAGAGTCACAACACTTGATAAAAGACATCAAAGACTTAAGCAAGCTAAAATGGCACGGTTGTTTTACCAAATGTGTTTTTATCTTACGTTTGCGTTTGATAACACTATAGGTTAGGTTTAGTGGTACATTATTTTCAAATGCGACAGAACTTAACCTTTTAGAGATATGTACAACAACCAATGTAGTAAAATATCGACAGATTCACATTTAACTGTTCCAGATAAAACTGGATGCACTTTCAGCACCACACATTGGACATTTTGCTTTGAAAGTGTGGCAAAACATGCAAGAAGCAACGTAATATCATTTTGCAGAAATGTCACCACAGACATGTTTTTTTTTACTGAACCCAGGTTGAATAAAACAATAAGCCTTGGGACACACAAAACACCTACTCTGACATGACTTTGACCAGTCTGCATTTTATGAAATCATGAACAATAATGGAAAATGACATCATGTGGTTCATTTCCAGAGCTGGAATATTAGACAGTTTCACAATCACCCCCATAAAATATACATTGATATATATATATAGTCCCCTCTTTGAGTGATATAAAGGGTGCTGATAGCCTCAGATGGACACAGTTTAGCCTTCATAATATCGCCAACAATCCAGTTGGCCTCCATTACCTCAGTGCACTAATGGAGGCACGAAGTGACATGTGTGACTCATAATGTTTTTGACTAAAAGCAAAATGAAAAATTTAATCAAACGACAGCAGTTAAGATGGAGCTTACTGAATAGCATTAAAATCAAAAACTCATTACTCATATTAATATGAAAAGATATAACAAGCAGAAGTTGGAGCAAAAATGCCATCTGACCGCAAGAAATGTAAATCTCTCACAAGCCGCCCATCCCCTGGCTATTACTGGAATTGCTGTGATCTTTGCTTTTGCGAGCTGTTGACCAGGAATAAGATCTAATTGACTCGGTGCAGGGGAGGTATGGGAATATACATAAACATGTCAACCTTAAGCACCTTTATAATTTACCAGAGCTTGGGTGGGATTGGACATTAGGATTTTTTATAGGTTCCACAATGGAGACAAAATTGTTCTTTAATATAACTGAGGATTTATGGCCTTTTCCTCCTGCAGTAATAAATTCTGGATTTAGCCCCCTACTTTAAGGATCGTTCCATTGTTCCAAGTGTAGTTTGCATAAAATGAATATTCAAAATACTGTTCCTGCAAAAACAGGCATACCAGATTTCAGATGAATAATATGCTACCATTAGTACTAAGGTCAAAAATAAAGTAGCAGAAAACTGAAAACTATTATACTTTGACCTGAGACAATAAAATGACCAAACGGTGCCACCAGCTTTTGTCATAAAGTAGTAGTAGGCTTGAATACATCATACTATAATGTTGTGGACCTTTTTGATGCAAAATATGCAAACTACTTCTAAATATGTGCTCTCTTAATGTTGCACAAAAAGCATCCTGATAGGCAGTGCTTCTGTGTGGTTTAATATTACCGGGCATCTACACAGAACAGAAGAGCTTTGTAAGTATTCCAGACGATTGTGAAATCACATGACAACATGACTATGAGCTGCCATCAAAGACATCTACAACAGCTGTTGTTGTGACTGGGCCAGTCAGACAAAATCTACAACATCCAGTCTTGAGGAAGCTACTGTTTGAATAAACTATGCTTCAAACCAACAATAGCTCACTAAACTGACATTTAATAATTAGGAGTCAATTAAGTTTCTTTTTTTTCCTCCAGCAAGAGCATATTACACAATACATTTATAATGTTAGAACATATTTATATTTCAAATAAATGCTGTTCTTTTGAACTTTCTGAATCATGGAAAAAATGCATCACATTTCCACAAAAAATATTAAGCAGATCAACATTCAATATTGATAATAATAATAAATGTTTCTTGAGCAACAAATCCATCATATTATGATTTCTGAATGTTCAAGTGACACTGAGAGTGACACTGGAATAATGGCTATTGGAAATTCAGCTTTGCATCGCAAGAATAATTTACAGTGTAAAGCAAGCATAGCATTATTTCTGGCAGGTCATGTTAGTCAAGCTCGCATCAGCTGACTCTCAGCTGATCCACATCTACCTATAGGGATGCGACACCTATCTCAGCACCCATATATAAGGTCCTTCAGTATTATCAGCAGCTTTCACGTTGCTCAATAACTAATTATCCTCCATCCCCATCTCCTCCTCTCATCAGTCAGGATTAGGCCTACTGATTCTCCTTTGAATCAGACTAATTTCTAAAATGTTACATTAAATTATTGAACTTTTATGATATCTGTAATATATTTATGTTGGTTCTGTTCTGTTTACCCTGGGGCTTTATTGCTGCTCTCCCTGCCCTTATCCATGTTAGGCTGCATGGATGCACAGGGAGTTCTTGCCCAGAACACAACCATACCGCCAATCCAAACTGTATACTAATTGTCAGTCATCTTTGACAATAGTGGTCCTGACAGAAATGAACATTGTGTCATTCTGTTGCTCACCTTCATATCATTCCAAACCCATAAGACTTCCTTTCATTGTCAGAACACAAATGAACTTTTTTAATATTGATTTTTTTATATTCTTTCATTCTTATTGTCCATCCACTGAATGTCTATAGTCCCTATAAGATCATTTATAATCCAAGTCTTCTGGAGACAGTCACTTTATATGATTTAATTTAGGCTTTTATTTACATATAAATATTAATCAGCAGATTCAGCACAAATGCGTAGAGCTCATTAAAAATGGTAAAGACAGAAGCACAACTGTGCTTACTTGACATGCAAGAACAAATCTCGTTGGTTCTTGCGGAAGCACAAACTCGTCAAGTAAGCACTTTTGATCTTCCGTTTACCATATAAACTACTCGATTTGTATGGATTGTTTACAATGTCTTCATGAACTTTCTAAAGTTTCGGTGAAATTGGAAAGATATTTTTGAAGATGAACAAAAGTTATGGATTTGGATCAACATGAGGGTAATGACAGAATTTTCATTTGTGGGAGAACTATACCTTTAAGATCATTTTTGATGGTTTCTCTTATTTACAGTGAAACTTTTGGTCTCATTTCAGCTCCAGCTTCCTGTCGTACAGTCGAAGTCGTCTTCATTGTGCCTCTCCAGCAGGCTCCGGCGCTGGAGCGTCGTCCTACGGGTTATCCAGTCTGCCTCCCAGTCCCCAGCCTGGGTCCAGCCAGGCGTCCAGTGCCCTGCCCAGTCCTGGTGCGTCCTCTAGCATTCCAGAGCCTCAGCTATGTGCCCATGACCTTGAGCCCAGCGCAAAAGGACCAGCTGTTCTCTCCGCTCCATCACCAGCTGCCCTTCATGCGTCAGGTGTTCGTTGACGGTCTGCAGCTTGGTGAGTTGTTCCTGATATCTCTGGAGCATTTCAGCTTGGCATGAGAACACTGTTTGCAGGTTCGACACTTCCGCTGGATTCATAGGTGGTGAAGTATTCTGTAACAGAGACGCTGGAGTTTGGTTAGAATCCATGAGCGGAAGTTTATTAAAGGTCAAGGCTTTAAACAGATGTCGATAATCAGGCAGAGGGTCAAAGTCAGAGAAGCAGGTAGATCGTTCGTGATACACAGGGGCAGAGGCAGAGACAATAGTGGAAAGGCAGGCAATGAGTCAAAACACAAACATCAGTCCAATCAGGCGTCAGAACAGAAGGGGCAGAGTACAAATACCGTGAGTCAAGAAGTCAGGCAGAATCATACACAGGAATCAATCAGGAACAGAGGAACTATAACGCTTGGTAAGGCAGATGAACTGGCAATACTTCGCGACCAGCACATGGACTGGTCTCAGTTTACATGAGAGTCAAACAGGAAATGGAAGTAGAGGAAGCAGAGGGAGTGGAGCACGGTCAGTACTCGGGCGAGGGCTCCCTCTGCTGGCTTGGCGTTACACAGAGACTATATTAAAACAGTAATCAGATACAGTATTTTAAATTATAACAATTTCACAGTTTTACTGTTTGTACTTTATGTTTAATAAAATAAATGCAGCCTTGGTGAGCATAAGAGGCTTCTTTCAAAAACATTTACAGAAATCTTACTGACCCTAAACTTTTGAACAGTAGAGTACATTGAAGCTACTTAAGAGAGCAACATTGTTTTAAATTTATATGAAATTCTGGCACAAAAACACGTTTTTTAAAAAAATATAAATTCCAGTGCAATGGTGTTAAACTTTGAACTGATACATTTACACTAACAACAACTAAATAACACCATAATTTATGTACTTTTCTATTTAACTATTTAACATAAATATATTTAGATTTGACATCTGAGTGGACAGATAACAATTGGTGATCCAGTTTATTTACAAGAATCATCCAAACAAATGGATTCGTTAGAATGAATCAGACTTTCCAACTCTACATATGAGACAGAGAGACAAGAGTGTTTCATTCATCATTAGTTATTCAATATTAACTTATCACGCTTAAAATGATATCTACTACGAAAGCATTATTGCTCGTGAGATACAGTTTAAATGTTACATTTCCAATGTTCAACAAAATTCAATCCAATATTTTCAGCGAACCAGCTTTTGTTCAACTTTTGTTTCACAGATTATGATATTTTGACTAAAAATGAACTTTCTAAGTAACTAAACAGCAGCACAGTGGAAGTCACACTCACTAGCACAGGAAGCGGGAGACTTTAATGGTGAGTGACTCACCATACCAGAGTTGCATAGTTAAGATGGAAACATTTATTGTTTTTGATGTGCAGCCTTTTTAAAGTAATCCTCATGCTAGGAGCTGCAAGATTCAGGAAACTGAACTGAGCAAGTAAGCAATTGTCTGGTAGCTGCACGAAGGGTTACCACGTAACAGTTTCTCACGCATAACTGTGCAGCCCTTTATTCTTGTTCAATCTGACAGGTGAAGAGAGGAGGCTAAAACCATGACACTTTTGAAATGTTTGAGTCCTTTGTTTAACCTGGTTGTTCACTCCATGTATACAGACATCACACTGTGCTCATGGTTACCATGGTGCTCAGACAGCGCTGACGGCTCATGTTCACTTCCAAGTACGTCTCTGTCTCTTTCTCTCTCTTGCTCTCTGACTGTTTAGTTGTCTCCATAAATGGTAGGCCACTCAATAAATATACCAAGCCAGAGCTGTGATCTGTGTGAGATTTCAAATAATGAACTGTCTTTACCGCTGAGTATTGCTTCGTGGAAATGCAACAAAACAACAAAATGGTCTAGTAATTTTCAATCCAGTACATGGAACGCTGCATTTCAAAGTAAAAAAATAATGAATGCACAGTTAATATGTTGTTTTCCGATTGAATGCATTTTATCTTGCATTCTCATTTACTTCACCGATGCTTGCTGGAAAGCAACTGTGTTGTTTTTTCAGGTTCAAATGATTAATTAAATTATATTACAGTAGCACATTGAGTGCCTCCTGTAATTTTTCACACCATGAACTGTGTTCTTCAAACGGTCCAGCAGCTACCGCATGGTTTCATTAGACCACGTCCTTGTGGTTTTATCCATAGTCTTTTATATTCCCGGTGGTCTTAAACAACACTGTTTGTCTAACTGTGACATGGGTTTATAAACTGAGCCTTCTGTGACAATTTTTCATGAATTAGCATAGTTTGCTTTGTGCTTTGAGAGAAATTGAGAGAAATCAGTTATCACACAGGATGGTGAGGGCCATAACTCACTAATATATCTAGTTAGTTAGTCACATTTAAATTGGTAAGCATACTCATTGGGATTAAAAACTACAGGGGAAAAAAATCTCACAAGAGTGATATGCCCAAGAAGGGAGCATAGATATACAGACAACATAGCAAAGATAGCTATCATATGCTGTAAGAGTCAATGATAAAAAAGAAAGAACAAAGGGGGAAACATTTCATATAAAGTTTATTTCAACACAGAATTGCACAGAATAGCAATAAATAAAATGCTAGCTATTTTGAATACAATGGTATACAGAGGTTTATCATTGTTTCCAAAAAGGCATTCTAGATATTTTGCAAAAATCTTATAAAAAAAACATCATATTATGAATTTATAAATAATCATGTAGCGATTGAAAAAAAAAATGGCATACTACACAGAAAGCCAAGTTTTATTAAAAGCTCATCCTGACAGCAATGAATTCCTCCTAAGGCGATTAATATGAAACTTAAACGACAGCTCTCCTGCTCGTCAAAACCATTCTTTCTCGGTTTGTTAAAAATAATGGTTCATTTTAAATGATAGGCCGTCAAATGGACACAGTTTTCCATCTGCACACATACACCACAGTGCTTTCTTGGACTAAATCTGGCCAGGAAATTACACACTACCTGCCAAAAACTTGACAAGGTCACAAAAAGAAAAAATGAAAGAAGAAGAGAGGAAAGTAAAGACTAAATAAGACCGCAGGATAAAAGCAAAGGCAGTACTGCAGGTTTTTGGATGGGGTCTTGTACGCTTCTGGCGGTGTATTGGATGAGCCCAGTGCAGGCCATGAGTTATCCAACGAAAGGCTAACCGGCAGTCTTTCTGCACGTTGACCCGTGGATGTGTTAAAAGTAGACATCAAAAACGCTCGGAGGGACGAAAGGAGGGGTAGTAATCACAGCTTCTAGCCCAGTTTGCTTTGATAGCTCTCTGGCCATCATAGCAATCGATGCTGTAATGCACAATCAAGTGTAATGTGCATTTGCAGCGAGCCCGTTCAATATTGTTCAATCTCAAGCCAAGAGAAGGAGGGACTGTGCCTTTCATTAAAATCAATGGCATTGTCCTTACAAGAATTAGTGCAATTGGAGGAGATTATTGTTATTTTTCTGTCTGAAACTCTAAAAAGAGAGCAGTTGTGATTGAGTTGTGGTGGTGAAGTTCAGCGCTTCATTGCACAGTACTTCACCTTTGTCCACTTTGTTTTTTTTGTCCTATCTATTCAGTTATTTAAAAAAAAAAATGTTAAAGTTAAAAAAATCAGTTCATAAATATCAATAATTCATTCTAATATTTTTGTGGTGCATAAAGTCAAATGCCAGGGTGGCCTCTCTAGAATGTATACAGGTGGGATTTCCCTACTAAAAACAAAACAATTGGTATAGCTGTTAGATATACATCATAGCAACAAAGCATCTTAATAGAGATTTTGCGGCATGTAAATATATCCATGCAGTGCAGTACAGTTATTGACTCGTTAGATTGATAAAGATGATGCATTAATGAAAGAAATGAAGAACAGTGCTCAGTGTTAAAATAAGTATAAAGTGTGATAAGCCATGAAAAAGTTATTTTTTTGCTTCTTATTGCACTTGTACACAGAATGATGTCAAAATGGCCATCTGAGAGAGTATTCAGGTAAACACGGTCAGTTATGACTTGAGGGAATGTAAATAATGTGAATGGAAAATCTGATGTGTATCAATATTGTAGATTACTGCATTAGATCTTAAAGTGAAAGCAGCATAATAAAACTCATTAATTTTAATCAAACAAAAGAATAAGAGAAAATTAATCATTGCTCTGGACTGAATGATCTTAAATGGCAGGACTTGTTCTCTTTTATAACTCTGTGGAAAATACAAATTATGCTCAGATAGTATCTCTTATCATGTCTGTAGTTTTTCTCACCTGATTTATAACTAATGCATACTGTATTTATTTGGCCATTGAGGATCACATCGAATGACAGCTGTGTCCCCCCAATTTAAAATGGCTGCTATGCCCCTGCAAACAACATTCAGAAACATGCAGGGAAATAAAAATATGAAATAGGAACTGATATTATAGAAAGAACTCACATAGACCATTATGACTTATGTGAAAGCCAAGAAGTCTCTTAAAATGTAATATAATTTGTTTTTATCACAAGGCAAGGTTAGTTTAGGTTGTAAAATTGTGTGTAATATTATATTTATGGATTAATAATCGACTGTTTGCAAAAAATATACTTTTGACCTTAATACCAGAATATAATAATTAAGATCACACACAGGTATTCAAGGTGTAAGGAAGATATGTTTTTACTTGGTTATACCACTTGACATTTTTGAGTCAAAAATTCAAACTCAACCTTTTTTTGAAAAAAACATTATAAAAATGTTTTTTTTTTTTTTTTTTAAACCTAATGAAACTCGCATGAATACAAAAAGTATGTCACGTGAGATGGAGCAATGGGCATACTCTAGGCTTCACTATGCTGACGGCAAATTCTTCTTTCTTCTTTCTTCATTTAATTATAAAGCACATTTTAAAACAACCAAGGGTTGACCAAAGTGCTGTACATAGTTGTAGAAAACACACAAAAACAGTACAGTAAAAATTTAACCCAGCATACATTTTTCAAATAAATATGATTTAAGCATTGATTTAAAAACAGACAGAGAAGGTGCTGTTCGAATGGCAACAGGGAGATTATTCCAAAGTGTTGGCCCAGCAATAGCAAAAGTTTGGTCACCACGATGTTTCAGTCTGGACCTAGGGATGGATAACATTTTTAAATGCCCTGATCTAAGTGGTCTCACTGATGTGTGTGAGTGCAACAACTCAGTGAGGTAGACTGGCACAAGATTATTAAGCGATTTTTAAAACCCAGATAAATATTTTAAATTCAACTCTGAATTTTACAGGCAACCAATGGAGAGAGATCAAGACAGGAGAGATGTGCTGGGATTTACGTGTTCTCGTCAAAATCCTGGCTGCTGTGTTTTGGACCAGTTGTAAACGCTCCATGGATGAGCAGTTAATCCCATAATAAAGTGAATTACAATAGTCTAAATGGGAAATAACAAATGCATTAATTACTTTTTCGAAGTTCCTGGTTGATAACAAAGGTTTCACTTTAGCCAGGCGACGAAGATTGAAAAAACACACTTTAACTACTCCATTTATCTGTTTGTCGAGCTTTAGACCAGAATCAAGCCAAAAACCTAATTTTTTTGCACATGGAGTAACCCATTGAGTTAAGGAACCAAAGTTACATTTACAGGCATTAAAAGCGTCACTAGGTCCAAACAGAATTACTTCAGTTTTACCTTCGTTTAGAGTCAAAAACATTTTTCTAAGCCATGACTTAAAGGCACAATATGTAAGATTTTTTTTTATTAAAATATCCAAAAAACACTAGAACAGTGTTATATATTTGCTGACTTGTGTACTTACATTATCCCAAATGTTTCGAAGAATGTTTAAATCCAGAGAAATAAGCAATTTTAACTAGTGACACGGACCGTGTCCATAGTGTCATTGTGTCGCCTGCCAATGACGTCATAACCCCTCGATTTCTGGTTTTGTTTTGTAGAAAACATGGAAACACCAAAGACACTTTAATATGTTATGCGTTTTATTAGACAGGTGACGTCCGCACAGAGTAGCATTATAACAGAACATTCAAACGTATCTAGTATGATAAAACAGCGCTACTTCCCTCATTCCAGATTCTGTACTAAGTAATTTCCTGAACCCAGATTGAAAAGTTTCATAAATATTGTTAGAACTCAGGAAAGCTTGTAACTGAGTTAACACTGCTTTTTCCAGAATTTTAGACATACAAGGTAAATTAGAGATTGGTCTAAAGTTGGACAAAATAGATGTATCTGAATTTGATGTCTTTAAAATTGGAGTAATTGTTGCATATTTTAAACTATCAGGAACCATTCCGGTGTTCAAACTCATGTTTATAAAGGAACATACATCTGCACAAACAGTATTTATAACTTGTTTTAGAAAACATGCAGGCATAACATCATGAGGAAAAACTGTGGGTCTTAAATGTTCAATGACCTTTTTACAGGTAGGGAGAGTAACAGGGTCAAATGATGACCAAATAGCAGTACTCCATGGTGTATCAAAATTATGTATGATTATGTATGAAATTATATATGTGGTCTCATCCCATCTACTTTCTCAAGAAAGAAAGTTAAAACATTTTCGCATAACGCCTCAGTCATATCAGTAAAAAAATTTACCACCGGATTTAAAACAGAATCAATCGTTGGAAACAATATTTTAGGACAATTGTAGTTGTTATTAATAATCTCCAGTAAATATTTAGATTTGGCAGACTTGACTGCTTTTTGAAATGTTGAGAGAGAATCCCTCATGAGTTCATAGGAAACCTGCAACCTATCCTCGCGCCATTTGCGTTCATATCTCCTCCAAATTTAAACTTCTTGCTCATCATTGCCTCTCAAGCACTGAAACACTCAAATGTAAATAACTTATATTACTACTATGGTTCTTGAAAAGTGTGAAGATGAAAAACATTTTACTTCAGACATCTTTCTGGCCTTGAAGACTACAAAGTCTGAACTGAGTTGGCTGATCTCTCTTGACCCCTCCTCTCTCTTTCTGTCTCACCCTCCTGTCTACATCCCTACTGGGACAGAACATCGCGGTGGCCTCTCAAACCTGAGCTCCTCTGATTGCTGGAAAGCGGTGAAGCAGGGTCAGCCTCAACACATTGCTGGTCAACAGATGCACAGTGATCAAAGGAGAAGACTTAGGAGTGTAAAACTGCTGGGATTTACAGTTAAGCTGCTATTTCCTGTTCAGATTCTAAACAGAATCTTCAGACATGTGCATCAAGGTGTTGAACAGTAGATAAAAATAAGAGAAGTTTTCTCAAAATGCCAAGTAAACATGCATTTTAGAAATGTAGCCCATGCACTCACCACACAAAGCCCTGAGTTTCATTGTCATGCCAGCCACATATGTGAGTTCATTGTTTGTTTTACATTGCACTGAAGTAGTTTTAAGCAATTTCACACACAGCCCAACAGAGGGTAGTATTATCTCAGCATGTAAGCCAGTGTGTAGTGAACACTACATAAGAGCAGAGCTTTTAGTGTTCTGACACACTGTACTCAAACTGTGCCATGGAATTTCATGCTGGCACATAATCTAACAGCTCCCTAAAAGCTGGCATACATTTACACACTATCCTTAAATAGATGGCTAAGAATGGCTGTAGTTCAGGATCACATTAGTTCATGGTGCTTCATTTAGTAAATGTACCTACAATATATAAATATAGAGATGCATTATTTGATCAAAAGTGAAAGTAAACATTTAAAATGTTGCAAAAAATGTATTTCAAATAAATTATGCTGTTTTGAACTTTTTTCATCAAATAATTTCAACAATTAAATATGTCACAATGGAATGGAAGTATTTCTTCAGTATTGTGATGTATATCCAAGTATAACATCAAAAATATTCTAAAATGCTGTATAAAAATGCAGAGTGGGGACTTTAGGAACAAAAAATTAGAACATTAGGAATGCGAGCTTGCAGTGACAAGGTTTAAGTGGCCTAAAAATGAAAACATAAGTAAAAATAAAACATGAAACATTTGCACAGGTGAATTGTTAACAATAAGATCTATAATGTGATTCAGAAAAAAAGGGTTTCCTTTTTATGTCAACTTTAAGCAGCACAACAAAATGAGTATACGGTATTACAGCAGAATCATGTGACACTGAAGACTTAAATAAATTCAGCTTTGCCATGACAGGAATACATTACATTTTACAATACATTAGAATACAAAAGAGTTAAACTGCAATAATATTTCACAACATTACTGTTTTTACAGTATTTTTGATCAAATAAATGCACCCTTTGTAAGCAAAAGAGGCTAACTTTTCAGAGATTAGAGAGCTGCAGGAATGACGTCAAAACCCAGAAGACTAATTTGCCATGGGTTCCATCAAGATTTTCCTATATGGTTTTATAATGGGGTTTTTCAATTTATGAGTAAAATATGTCTGTGGTAATCTTGACGATACTTAATAAACTAGTAACTACTAGTAGTAGTTTGTTACTTATAGGAAAAATGTTATATATATATATATATATATATATATATATATATATATATATAAACA